GGGGGGGGGGGGGGGGGGGGGGGGGGGGGGGGGGGGGGGGGGGGGGGGGGGGGGGGGTTGCCGAACCGGAGAGGCCACCCGCCTTCCCCGGCCGAACCCTCAGCGACGTCGCCGACCAGCCTGGGCATCGGGGGGGGCTACACACGTCTCTCTTGCACGCACCTCACACACCCAAGCACTCGATCACCCCTCACCAGGTAGGCTATTCGCGTCACGTGTCAGCCCTCATCCCCAAGAAGACAAACGTAGGTTCCTTCCGCGTCAACTCAACCTCTCGTGCACCGTCCTTGGCTGCTAGAAGAAAACTTGCAACCAGCGGTTTGCGGCGTGAGCATATTTTCTCGCCCCCCCCAACGCCTCTGGGTCACTATTAAGCTTACAACACTGCTCTTAGGCTATCCTACAATGTTTTTCGGCGTCGTTGGCGATGTCGGCTACGCTAGGATAAGCCCCTGCCGGCCAACGCCACAAAACAAGCTGCGGTGCGTCATGTGCCGGTTGGACTCAAAAGAGACACGCCGCGTGTGCGCACGGTAACGGCGGGGTGCGGTAGCAGCTGCGCGCACAGCAAGTTAAGAAACACACCGCCAGAAAAAAAAAAAGTGCCCAGGGCCCACGCCGGCGCAAACTTAAGCATGTTCGCCGCCGATCTGACAGCTGGGGTTGCCGTTGGATCTCCGCGCGAGAAGGTTCAACTATCTGCAGGTCTTGTCTAGTCCGTTCACCCCTCTGGTGCCATGAAGGGGTTCTCGATTTCTTCCATCCCGTCCCTCGGAGATATGAGGCTGACCTGCGTGCCCCGGCACACGACCAGCCCTAGCTCTCTGGTCTCCTCGGTTAGCTTGTAAGGGTCGGTGGGATCTGCGACCACAGAGAGGCCGGCATGACGATGGGCCGTCGTTGTGCACAATCGTTCAATTTTCGGCTGTGGGTGTCGTCGTCGACATCATCGTCGTCGTCGCTGTCGTTGCGGGCTTGCCTCTACTTATAGGGAACTACAACCCCAGGGCTTCGAAACATAAAGCTGATGACACAGGCTGCCACAATACCTCGTCTTGTGCACCAAGTGGTGTTTCACGCAGTCTCTACACGCGACGCGTCATCCACACAAAACGACTTGGCCTTCGAGTTTATTTTTGGGAAAAGGCATACATTCAAAGAAGTGAGGTTGCCCCCCAAGCAGTCACGGGCCAGGAGCGGGTTTGGGCACATGCCATCGCCGTGGTGGTATATCATCGGCGACGGGGCACCCCCCCCGCGCCAGCGTGCAACGGGACGTGAGCAACGATACCAACGATGAAACTATTGGCCGGGATAGGTTGGTCGCGTCCACCTCCTTGGAGAAAGAGTCGACATGGTTTTTCTTAGTAGAAGCATTCACCGATATGTGCAATGAATATCATGCCGCGGAAGCTTACGCAGGAGGGAGGACGGATGCAGACAGACCGTTGAAGAAACCAGAGAGCACTCGCTCGATCAAATCGAGAGTCGCGAGAAATGTACGTCAAAGCCCTCGCTGACTCCACGCCATGCAAAGGGTGTGCGCGTGCTGACCAGCCCATCACGCGCACTGCTGTTACGACGCCAACGGATACCAAGCAGTCGGATACGAAAACCAAAAGGAATGGACACCACATCACTGAGGCTCTCTCCCTCGCTTCTCACCTCGGATAAACTCGATGCACTCATCCAGAACGACGTTGACCAGCGGATCGAACCCCTTGAGAACACCGTGCACCTCCCTCCCCCCCTGGAGCTTCACCCGCACCCCCTGGTCCAAGTACTTCTGCAGGTCGAGAACTGCCGGCGAAGGCATTTGATTGCGGGGGGGGCGGCGGGTGCCACAAGGAGGAAAGGTGGAGACGGCGTTCTCAGAAATTTCCCATGCATATACTTCGAGACGAAAACCGCCTACCCCCCTACTGCAATCTGGCATAATGTCTGATTTCACACAGCAAACGCATGGATGACGACTGGCTTATCTGGTTCATCATCCTTGCGAAACGTAACCTGGGCCGGGTTGAACCCGGCATATCGCTCCGTCCCGGCGTTGTAGGGAAACGAAGTCAATGGTCAAAACGACGACTAGAAGTACAAGGCATGCGTTCCCATGAGTAACCCCCTTCCTTAGAGGAGACACCACACACGGCCGAAATCCTTGGCGTTTCTGCCACAGCTCCCACGCGGAGAAAAATCTTGGCTTTCCATATCCCCGTTCAACGGGACGGGGGGGGGAGGGGTGTACTCATAGTCGTGCATGCCGTAGTCGTTAGACCATTGACCTCGCATCCCTACAAAGCCGGGACGGAGCACGCCGGG